TTTCAAAACAGAGACGAGCAGGTGCTCATCAAAAGGGGTTAAAAACTGACTGAAAAAAAAAATTCACAAAATTCATACCATAAGTATAGCCAACAGACAGTTGGAAAACAGTCAATCAACGCAAGTAAACAGAAAAAACTGACTTTTTGGAAAACTGTAACTTCCGAACTTCCACGAAACAAATAGGTGCCATGATACTCTTTGCATTTCTAGATTGATTCAAGATTGAAAGTTTTGGCTCTTTTTCCTTTCCCCTCACCTCACACGACCATCCATTTGATGGTCTAACGAGTGGTTTTACGAGGTTAATTATGAAGACCAAATATGTTTGCCATGGCATAATCAGTCTGCATGTCAATTTTCATGACAATCGGCTAATGTGGACAAAAATTTTAATTATAAAAATTTCCAGGTGGGGGGAAAAGGAAAAAGAGCCAAAGTTTTTTGATAAAACTAGCCTCGCATAATTATATTCCGTTTTCGAAACTAGAATTCGAGCAAGTTTTTTGTGACCTCTACACTTTTGATGTTCGATAGTGGAGTTTGCCTTTCTTGAAACAAAAGAAAAGAAATGAACTCAAAACGAATCAAAACTGAAACCGCGAAAAACTAAATTTGAGCTTGAAAAAAATTGAAGACTTCTGAAACAAAAAAAAACATATAAAAGAGTCTGATCCACGTTCATCGACTCTTAAAAACATAGCCAACAGACATTTAAAAAGAGTCAATGAGTCAACAAGAAAAAAATATGCCCTCAAAGCATTTAGAACAATTCACGATTTGCGTTTTTTGATAAAATTAAACCAATGCGAGAAAACTGGGTCAAAGAGTAAAAATTATAATTCGCAGGGAAAACTGAAAACTAAAATCCACTTTCGATACTAGAAGTCCATCACCTTTTTCATGACTTTACACTTTTGCAGTTCGATAGTGGAAATTCCCGTCCTTGTAACAGAAGAAAAGAAACAAACTTACAACGAAATCAAAAGTCAAACCGCGAAAAACTTAGGTTGAACTTTGTACTTCTAAAAAAAGTCGTAAAAGTAGTTAAGTTAATGTTTTTTTAAAAAAAAACAAAAAAAAATCATCACGACATATAAAAGAGTCTGAGCTATGTTCATCAACTCTTAATAACATAGCCAACAGACCTTTAGAAAGAGTCAATGAACGCAAAGGAAAATAAAAATTATTCTGTTTTTAAGCTTTCTAATTCCCGAGAAAAATTGCATGAAAAAAAGCTCATAAAAATTTTTTTATATCGACGCTTTTTTGATAGAAGTAATCCAACCTAATAAAACTGGATAACAGGTTAAATTTCTTCCCGCTGCATAATCTAAATACTAAAATAACCCATTCAAATTTAAAATCGTTCAGATTTTTCGTAGCCTTCACCGTTTTGCATTAATTATAAAGTTTTTCAAAAATTCAGATAACAAACATAGCTAATAGACATTTGCAAAAAAGTCAATGAACGCAAGGAAGCAGAAAAACAATTAAATTTTTTTTTTAAAAAAATTGTCAACTTTCGACTTTCAAAAAAGCAATATATGCCCTTGAAGCATATAGAACAATTCATGACTGGCGTTTTTTGATAAAATAAATCCAATTTGAGAAAACTGTGTCAATAAATAAAATTTATATTTCGCTGGGATTTATAAATTTATATTTCGAAATTTATATTTCGAATTTAAAATCGCTTTTTGCAATAAGAAGTCGATCACGTTTTCGTGACTTTTACACTTTTGCTGTTAAATATTGGAGTTTACCTTCCTTATAATAAAAGAAAATATATGAACTTCAAACAAAATCAAAATTCAAACCGCGAAAAACTAAATTTGAGCTTGAAAAAACTTAAAGACCTTTCCTTAAAAAAAATCATCACGACATATAAAAGAGTCTGATCTACGCTCATCGACTCATAAGAACACAGCCAACAGACATTTAAAAAGAGTCAATGAACACAAGGAAACATAAAAATTCTTCTGTTTTTAAGAAAAAATTCATGAAGATAGGGCTCATAAAAAATTTTTGAATCGACGCTTTTTTGATAGAAGTAATCCAATCTGATAAAAACTGAACTAATAGATTAATTTCCCGCTACACAATCTGAAAACTAAAATAACCCACTGAAATTGTTCAGGTTTTTCGTAGCCTTCGCCCTTTTGCATTCCGTAAAACGTTTCTCAAAAATTCAGATAACAAACATAGCCAACAGACATTTGGAAAAAAGTCAAGGAACGCAAATAAACAGAGAAAAACAATGAATCATTTTTTTTGAAGAAACGTCAACTACTATTAAATAAAAAATTACTTATTGACACAGTGTGAGGAAACTGTGTCAATAAGTAAAAGCTATAATTCGCTGGGAAATCTGAAATAAAAATTCCACTTTCAAAACTAAAAATCAATCGCGTTTTTCATTACCTTTACAATTTTGCAGTTCGATAGTGAAGTTTGCCTTTCTTTAAACAAAGGAAAAGAAATGAACTAATAAAATGGAACATCAAATCGCGAAAAAACGCCGGAAACAAAAAAATCATGTAAGAGTCTGAACAACGTTCAACTACTGTCAATACTGGTTGCTCTTAAACTAGCCGGATATACCTCTCGCGCTCTGTAAAAAAACTGCTAGGAACTACAAATTTTTAATTTTGATGCAACTCAAACTTTAGCGCCAGGAAAACATGGCGTCAGAAAATAATTCCAGCTCCTTCACAAGCTCCGTTTGCGGCTAGACTGCTGATAAACATCGTACTAAAAAAACTTTAAAACGATTTAACGCTTTACTTCTAACACAGTGGCGAAGCTGAGCTTTCCACCACTTGCGATACACACAGCCACCGACTCGTAGAAAAATGACAAAACGCCAAAAAACAACACCCAAAATTATTTTCAAATGTTTGTTTCAAATCTAAACTCAATTTGATGAAAACTTGTAGCAGAATACAACAGCCGAAATAACGAACTGTTCAAATTGAAAAAAAAATAATAATGAAAAAAAATTACGCAAAACCAGACTTTTCATTTATAATAAAAAAAGCTGTTAAAATTGGAACAAAATCGTGCATTAAAAGGTATGTCAATATAAAAAAACCGTACTAAAATGAGCTTTTAAAAAAACGGAAAATAAACCGACAAAAACTAGGACGAAAACCACTATTCTGAAAAAAAATTGAGAAACATTTTTGAAAAGATAATTACAAACTGAAAAAGTCTACTATTTGAATTTCAAGAAACTGAGCATACCAGAAAACGTAAGTTCCTTCTAATCGGGTCCAGTTTACCATTCCTACTAAAATGACCATTCAGTGAACAAAGTTAATTACGGGAAAAAAGTCTAGTACCCGATTGAATTGTAACCTTTTAACCTGTCTCATGTGGGTGATTACCCACGTACTAATGGAATTTTAAAACGGTCATTAGAAAATGCAAAAGTGTTTGTGAACAAGACAACCTTAAAAAGGACTTTTCCAATTAGCAAGTGGATCAATAGGGGAAAAACATTTTTGAAACTAAAAGCCACTCACGTTTTTCACGCCCTTTGCCCCTGTTGCTGGAGAGCGCAAATTACCTTGCTTTTGCTTAAGAAAAGAAACGAAAAACACATGACCTATAAAGCAACTTCACGTCGTCCTTTAATGAAAACCTTAAAAACGTACATTTTAGAGCAAAAAAGTGGACGTTCTTCAAAAAAAAAAATTCAATTCAATCAGTGAAACAGTAAAAAAAAATAGCCACATTAAGCCTGCTTTTTTTCGCTGAGCTTACACTCAGTGATTTTACGAACCTTTTTTTAAAATACCAATTAAAACTGAGGCGTAGGACGGCATTTTCTCTGTCTTGCCTTTGCTGATTCCTAGGATGACAACATGCATTTATTATTTTTACTTTTTACAAGAAAGAAATAAAAGCTAAAAAAAATTGGTATAATTTTCGATTGGGAATGTCAAAGTCAAATGCTGCATTGTTGATAATTGCATGATAAATCAAACATCAATGCTCAATTATGTTCGTAAATCACCTTGAACATAAGTACTAATATCAAGCATAAGATGTTCACGCAGTCATGTGACCTTTATAAAGTCATTTTTATTGTCACTTCATGTCAAACAGTTGGTCAAAACAAAAACAAAATGAACTGGTATCGCAGCAAAACTCAGCTTCATTTAGTTGAAGTTATCGGAAATCGAGACAATTTTGAGACACGACTGTTGTTTTACAATGATTATAATTCGTACCCTATTTGGACCGCCTTACAACCCTACATTGACAAGGAATCTCAAGGGTCGAAGAAAAAACAGTTGAGTTTATTCGTTGGCGAGAAAGCAGATGAGGTGGTCAGATTATTATTGAAACAAGGCTTGACGATTAAATCGTGGTCAAACACAGCTCCAAGTGGCCGACAACCAAATAGTGAAAGCGACAGTACTGAAAAATGGACCTTAACCCTGCCAAATGTTATTTAAAATCATGGCAGTGCTGTTTAAAGATAAAAACTCTAAGTATTTTGTTTGAATAGCTAATTGATTATGATGTTTTATGTTCACCATTTGTGAATTATGATTGAAATCATATATTGCCTTTCTTTTTGATTTTTCATTTCTCTCAGAATTGACCATTTCTGTCAAGTTAAAAAAAATGGTAGTCTAATAGGAAACTTCTAAAATCAAATTAGCTCGGAAGTCAATTCAGTCGGAGATTAAAGATTAACAACAATTTCAAAAAATTTGAAAATCTGCTCCCCAGAAAAACTTCTAGATCGGTTTTTGTATCAAATCATAGTCTCAATGCGTTTTCGTATTTTTAAGACCAGTAAACATGTCAAAAATCTAAGACAAAACATCTTTAAACATTCTAAGTTAAGCCAAGAAAAACCCCAGGTGCTTTTTTTCGATTAAAAATGGGTTTGTTTTTGAAAAGATACGAAGGAGCTTCGATAGCACGATAGTAAGAGCGAACAAAAAGCATGCTTTCTTTAAAAACTAAAAACAGGAACGAACCTTTGCCACTATTTTGGGAATGATTGCATGATTGACCATCGCATCAGCCAACTTGTCATCTTTGACTGCACTGGTAAGTGACTTAAACACCAGCAGCTGTACCTCTGAAGAACATCCACTCCAGATGTCCAGATTGAGGAGTACTTCAGTGAGTGCCAAGTGTTGATAGAATGGAGAGAGTCTGCACTCCACGTGGGGGGAGTTGAATGAGTCAGGGATAGAGTCTGGCTGTTTTGTAGGAGAGGAGAAATCTAAACGTAACAGGGTAGCAATCTTGTCATCTTTTCTAAATAATGCTTCTCAGAGCCATTCACTTAATATGAGGTATTATCGTCAATAATTGGGTAATTTAAGAAAACTATCACTGAGTGATTTACGCAAGAGAAGTAACAGTTCCTATCTAACAAGAATAGCCGGTTAATGTGTAAGTAGCGCAGAATGTTCTGATTAAAATTATGTTCTGATGAAACAAAACAGGGATGGCAGGTTACTGTGCAAATAGCACAAATTATTCCGACCATTCTTATAAGAAATAGAAAAAGTTTTTCAAATTAGTCTTTTCTGAACGAAAAGATCTGAACGAAAAAAAATAGAACTTTATTCGACATTCATAGTGAAAAAACGCCAATTGGAAAACAGTTTTTAAAGAAAAATGACTAGAAAAACGAAAAAAAAATTCAAAATTCAAAAACTTAATTTTTCAGCAAACATTTTTTGAATCTTGTATTTTTGGTTCTCAAATCTCAAATTGGCGCTACGAAACTCCAAAAACTAACTTTACTCACGTAAAACTAAGTTTTCACGGCCTAAATTAAGCATAAATAAGCTATTGTGAGCCTGCACGCTCAACTAGTTGGCTTGAAATTAAACCAAAAATCCAAAAAATTCAAACTGGTTTTTCTCGACACTGAGAAATTTTTAGTGTCGTTCTAATCAAGACTGAAAAGGCTTTAATATGATAGACCAGTCGACCCATTCTGATGATTATTTATGGTAGCTGATTTGGCGAAAAAGAGAAAACTAAACACACCCAAATACAAAATTATCAAATGGTCGAAACAACAATTTAAAAAAATAATTATGCATTTTTTGTTGCCTAAGTTTCTTGTTCTTTCTGTTCCGGAAAATGCTATTGAACCATGTAAAAAGAGCGGAAACTATAATTCAAAATCGTTGAAATGTAGCGGTGAAAATCTCGGAAATTTAAGTTGGGAGATCAGGCTCAGCAAAATTCTTCTAAAGTAGTCTGCAAAATTATAAAAACTTTTATCGTTTTCTTTAAGAAGCCAAATCACAATCAAAAGAACTTGAATATGATACCACAATTGATTCCCTTCAAGCTTTCCTCAAAATAGTCAAAATTGGGTGCAATTTTAAAAAAAAAACTAGCGTGTACCGCACCTCCGGTGCTTCGAAATTTCAATAACTCAAAAAACTATTCTTTGAGTGTACTCTGACAGTACCCAATTACAGGGTTCGTAATTAAAAACTTTCGCAACGTTTTTTATTCAAGTTTTTTCCACAAATTTTGAAAAAGCATAAAATTTTGTTAAATATTATAAAAATTCTTCAAAAAGTTTAAAATGAACACAGAAACGTCACATCTGGGAAACTGAAATCAATTGAGCAGTCGCATTTGGGCGCAAGATTTGCAACTCCTGAGAGTAACTTCAAATTTTGTAAAATTTTTCATCCGGTTTTTTTAATTCAAATTTTGAAAAACCATAAAAATTTGTGACAATTTTTTTTATATCTAAGTTTACAATGAACTAAAAATCGTCACATCTGGGAAATGGAAAGCAATTGAGCAGTTGCACTAGAACGTAAGATTTGCAACTCCTGAGAGTATACTTACAGTACCCAACTACAACGTTGGGAAATTCAGATTTTGAGAAACTTCACCTTAAGTTTTCTGAAAGGTATTTTTTTTGAAAACCAGAAAAAATTCCTTTTTCGAAAGCTACCAAACTTTGAGCAGTTTTTTAATGGCAATATTCGCAATCTTTGAAAGTACACAACTACAGGGTTGGGAAATTCACTTGAACGAATTATTGTGTAATTTGAGTTTTCTGAAAATTTCCAATTAAAAATCACAAAAATCGTCGTATCTATTTAACAAAATGATTTGGGCATTCTTAATTGGAGGCCAAATTTGCAACCCTTGAGATTACTCTGACAGCCCCCAGCTACAGGTTAGGAAATTCAAACTTTGAAAAAAAAATTAATTTTCATGAAATTTTTTTTTGATAAAATCACAAAAAGTTCATATCTGAAAAACCACAAGATTTTGAGCAGTCCTATTCAGAGGCAAGATTCGCAACCCCCTGAGAGTACCCTCAAAGATTCCAATAACAGGATTAATATCTTCAAAATTTCGGAACTTTTTAACATTTAATTTTTTTTGAAAATTTGGGAGAAAATCATAAAAAACGTTATATCTTGAAAACTGCACGGAATTGCGCAGTCATACTGGGAGACAAAATTCGCAACTCCTCAGAGTACCCTAACAGAGCCTCACTACAGAGATGGTAATTTCAAATTTTTTGTTAAATTTTTATATCTAAGTTTTCTGAAAACTTTTGAAAAAAATCCCAAAAATCTCGAAAACTACAGGGATTTGAGCAGCCATAATCAAAGGCAAGATTCGCAACCCCTGAGAGTACCCTCACAATATCCAACAACAGGATTGAGATCTTCAACGTTTGGAATTTTTTAAAATCCAAGTTTTTGAAATTTTTTTGAAAAAATCATGAAAAACGTCATAACTCGAAAACTAAAAGGATTTGAGAAGTCAGAATTGTAGGCAAGATTCGCAAAACCTGACAGCACCCAACTACAGGGCGAGAATTTTGAAAATTGGGAAATTTTTTAAAATTAAATTTTCTAGAAATTTTTGGAAAATCTCGAAAAATGCCTATCTCGTAAACCAAAAGGACTTGTTTATTCATATATGGAGGCCAGAATCGCAAAACCTGGAAAAACTCTGACAATATCCTACTATTGGGTTGCTAATTTAAAACGTGATGAAAAAAACACTGAATTTAAACTGAAAAATTGAAAAAAAACCTTAACCATTGCAATATACGATATAGCTTAAATGTGAAAAAATTCATTTGTTAAACATACAAAATAATAGGTTGAAAAAGCTTAAACATGGCGAGATAGTGAAGCCCGCATTTAAAAAGATAATAGATAGATAATAGATGAAAGTTAAAAAATTAGGCGACGGGTAGGCAGACATAATCAAATTAATTTAAAAAGCAGGTATACAGACAGACAGACTTAATTTGGCCTCGGAAAAAAAATTCTGAAAAATTAATGACCTTGCGAAAAACTAATTGAAAAATTTTCTTAAGCATTGCAATATATGATATAGCTTAAACATGAAAAAATTCTTCCGTTAAACATAAAAAAAACATTATGCTTAAACATGGGAGATAGCTGTCACTCGCATTTAAATATAGTATAGATAGGTAGATAGATAGATAGATAGATATAGATTGACCCTACGCGAGAGCTGCTTCCCACTCTACGAAGTGGTCAGAATAACAAGACTGCTCGTATAAGGGCGAAACTCAACATTTTCCGACCACATTTCTACGATATAGGAATTATTTAAAAAAAAAACAGGAAATGTCGCGGTATAATATTTATCCCAAATTGGCAACTTTGAAACCCTCGAGGGAAAAAAATACACAATTACTGGCAAATTTGAAACCATAGTTTTATTTAAAAATAGTCACAGGTAGTATAACTTTCTTTTTTTTAGTTCAGTGCATCTATATCTTTTAAACTATAAAAATTTTGTCAAAACGTGCTAGCTGAAAAGTCTAAGTATGCCTGGAGTCAAAATTTAGCCTAACTGTAATAATGAACTTTTTGGATAGATTCGATAAATTGAGGAACTGAATAATACATACTCTGAATATTACTTGACTACGAAGGCATTTTAGTGATCCAGTTCTTGTACAAAAAAATTTTGCGATCACTGACAATAATAATCGAAGAAGTATTTTCAATTCAAAACCAAAAACGCTGAAAACAAAAAAAAATGCAGAACAGCTGCGCAAAACGCCATGGTATTTGCAACTTATGTTCAGGCTTATGTTCAGAAACCATACATGCAGGAGGCAAGTCGTCTAAAATGCATTGGCATTGACTGCAACGAAAACCTCATTGATAATTTCGTCTGGACATGTCAAGGCTGCTCGGAAACTGCAGGTTGTTCAAATTTCTCGGTTTATTTTTAAAACATAAAAAATGGACTAGGCCTCCAAATTGAAATCACAATTCATCTTATTTGAGCAAGAGTTAATTAATCTGAAAAAAAAAACAATGCCAAGAACAAATGTTAGACTGGCCAGCACTTCAGTACAAAGACGTATCAAACCCGATCTGAAACCTTTTTTGAAGATCTAACTCAGCCAGCAGCGCAAACAAAGTCATGAAAAAATCTACCGAGGATTGTTCCAACAAACCACCCTTGGTCAGTCACTCTCTTGAGATGTCGACGCAAACCTTGTATCGCAAAATTATTCATTCCTTCAGTCAAAAGGTCAATAGACAAAAAATATCAATTGAAAAATGCACAATAATTTTGGTGTAATGTCAAGAAAAATTCTCATTTTAATTTGTCCTGTTTCGAATTCTTACATCTTCCTTGACTGAAAAATCAGGTAGCTCGCATTTTGCTCGAGGCAACTGTGCATGTAGGTCGCAACGTTCTTATTTTTCTTATTTAAGATTCTAACGAAAGTTCTGGTTGCTGTGCAAGCAGATGATTCTATGCAACCAAGTTGCAGCATCTACGACATTGTCGTTTGACAATCAACAATAATTAATGCTATTGCTGCAAAAGTGCCACCAAATGAGCAGTTTTCTTTGCGACTAGTGTTAGAAGTGAAGTAAACTAAATTAGTGCACACACGCACGAGTTTCGTTTGAACTATGTTGTCAGAATTACAATCACCTTTGAAAAGACCTTAACATGATAGAAAATTAAATGAAGCATTTCAATTTGCGAGGAAAACTTCTAAACAATAGGTTCTTTTCATTCAAAGGTAGTTGCAAAAATTACACAGAGGCGAAGCTGCGCTTCGCAAACACAAGCGAGGAAAATGCAAAAAATAACTCTACGCAGGCACAACAAAAAAATAAGGAAAAGATTAAACATGCGACTGGAAAAAAAGTTTACTGAGACTAAGAGTATCAACAGAAAAAGTAGAAATAAGCCTCGAATTAGCAAAAACTCGGCGAAGTGTCGGATTCGAATCTGCGACTTAGCAAATTTGAGTCTCACGCACTAACCACTCAGACACGGATGCTTAAAATTCACAAATACTAGCCACCAATAACGCAGCTACATATGCTAATAAATTGCCAATTCGATGCAGCAAAAGTAGCACCAAATACAAACAGACACAATTTGCAAGTAATATTTTGGAGTTTAACAAACTGAAGGCATCCCCACTAACTTTGCATAAAACAAATTGGAAAGCATAAAGTTGCATTATGTATAAATTATGCATTTCAAAAAATTGCGATATTTAATGACTTAGAAAACTTCTGAAATTGAGTTTTAACTATAGTTATGTTGTTTGAAACAAAATCTTTTTCGGTTAATTTAATGAATTTAAAATGCATCAACTATGTTAACTTATTATTTTTCGAATGTCAACGCTATTTTAAATCTGTAAAAGTGCCCCCAAATGGGCACCAATATTTGCGACTCAGGTTGGAAATAAAAGTCCGTACTATAACACTTAGCTTCGCAAGTGTCAGCAAATAAGCCAAAAATCCGTCTACTCAAACTTTCAAGACCGTAAAACGTGAAGTAAAACGAAAAGAGACTAACAAAATATGCAGGCACAGAGAAGAGCAGCCGGTTCGTTCCATAGCTATCATTTTTTTGAAAATCGGTATAGTAGTTTTTGAGAACAAAATGAAATTTCTGTGAAAAGTGAAAAACTTTTCCAAAACGTCGCAAAAAAAACGAAAATAATAATTCCCATATATTTTCATAATACAATTTTTTTTTCAAACAGGACCTAAAACCAGCCAAAAAAAGCAGCAACACGCCATTAAATGTTTATGCTTAAGTAAGCTTAAAGATGACTTAAAATCATTCACGTCTTTTCGGACCATTTCCACGTTCGTATTTGGAGAGTGCTATTTACGTCACATTCACCAGATGAATTTCAATCGAACTGGGTGTATGCTGACAATAATGTTCTCTTCATCAAGTTTGTAGTTTCAAATTTTGTGATTTTTTTTGTAAGTAAGTTCTTTAAGAAATTTCGTCACATCTCGAAAACTGAAAGCATTTGAGTAGTGGCCTTTGGCAAGATTTGAAACTCCTGAGAGTACCCTGACAGCACTCAACTACAAAGTTAGGAATTCCAAATTTATGATTTCTGAAAATTTTTGAAAAAAAAAACACAAAAATCATCGAATCTCGTAACCTAAAAAGATTCCGGCATTCAAAATGGGAGCCCGAATTTGCAAGCTCTTGGAGAATCCGGACAGCATCCTACTATTGGGCTGCTTATTTTAAACTCGGTGAAATAACTACAGAAATCAAACTGAGAAAGAGAAAAAAATTATTAACCATTGCTATGTGCCTTATAGCTTAAACGTGAAAAAATTCTTTCAGTAAACATGCAAAAATTATACGTTAAGAAAGCTTAAACGTGGCGAAATAGTGAAGCCCGCATTTGAATATATAATAGATTAAATTGAAATATAACATATGTGTCACCAAATGAGCACTTTTATTAGCGAATTAATTTAGAAAAAATTCTTCGTAATAATACACTACGCTTCGATGGTGTGTAATCAATGCTGTCTCACAGTAAAAATTTTCTCAAAATACGTGATGCTGATATTCGAGAAACTTACTTGACTCCACTATTCCAATCGTTTCCAAGATTATCTGTGCCACATGTGAATTAATTGAGTGGGCCTTCCGTTCCAGAATCAACGAAAGAGTCTGGAACCATTTCTTACAGTCCATGTCACTCTTAATCTCAAGACAAGGCAAAACAGTGTTCAACAGTTTAACACACGCGTACAATCTCTCGATTGAATCACTCTTGGCTATGAGTTCTAGGACTATCAAAGGAGCTCCAATTTTGTTCAAAGTTGAAGCCAAAGGAGCAGGAGTGAAAGCTCGAATTGAGGAGTTGCCGATGAGGACTCCGCCTAAAGGTGCTCTCACTGGACCTTGAAGGTGGGAGGCGGAATTGAAGAGAACGCGAACGGGGCACACTTCATCGGCCAGTGACAGTTTGAGCTAAAAAATGTGACGACTCAATTAATTTTTAAATTATGTTGGCTTTCAAGAACCAGCTGAAATTCGGGTGAATAATTTCTTGAAAACTAAAATATATTCTTGAAAAAATTAAAACGTTCACGTTTCATTGATTTACTGTTAATTAGAAATCGTTGGAAATATCCTTTTCGCTCATTCTATAACAGCTCATTTTGACACGGCTCATTTTGGAAACTATTGATCGAGTCAATTCCACTCAATTCAGACGGTAAAAACTGTTTCAAAAATCTATTTAACCAAAAAGCACCGTGTTCAACGGATGAAGTTGCTTTGCTTGCTTAAATGATGAAACTTAAATTACTTGATCCAATTTAGGCATGGATCAAAGTGAGCTGTGCTTTCATCTTTTTTCATAGTAGGCTGATTAGTAGTTGATTTCTACTTCAAAATCATTCAAGTGTACATGTCGTTTTTTCAGCAATGACGTACCAGTTTGGATAGGGTGATTGCCATCCCTTTTCCATACATCTTTCTGATCCTGGCCAGACTCAACACAGTCATACTCCTTGCATTCACTCCCCATATGATCTTATCCTCACTAACTATAGCCACCACTCCACCCGTAGATGTTGCAGAACTACCTGGTGTAGCCGGGGTCACTGGGGTTGATGTGATGATGGAGGAGGGGTTGAGGGTGGAGATGGCGGAGGTGTTTGAGGAAGGGAGGTCAAACAGGTTCATCGGGCATCGTTGGAAGGAGCCGCTATATGAGGGGCCCAGCTTGTACATGTGTGCTGCAACAATCGCAAAAATGTATTTGAACAAACCTAGAAGGTAAAAACACCTCGAAACTACAAAAACTTACTTTGGAATTCCAAAAAGGATCGAGAGAGTGATGAGATGATATGCCATTTTAAAAATCTTAAGATTTCAAGTGACGAATACTGGCGATATATTTTTCAGCTCTGAGTTTTACTCTCTATCCATTAACTACAATCATCATCTAAAATGCAACGTACCTATCTGGGTACTTGACAGTGCGTCTTCCATCAAGTGAGCTCCTGCTAGTTTCCACTTCAGTTTACACTTGTCAGTCGCATACACGAGTGATGTGCCTATACTCATATTAGTCGTGTACACAGATGGTGTGTTGGTAGTGTTGGGCGTTGAGATGTAGTGCATCCTGTTGGATATCTGCTGGATTCCGTTCACAAAGATGGAACAGGAGCTCTGCTTCACGAAGCCTTTTGTGAGAACTACGGCAATGTGGATCCAACCGTTTGTCTGAAACAATTAGTTTTCGTTTAGCGCTTTTTAGGAAGCTACTAAAAGTAACTACTGTGTAACTATCAAATAACTATTCTCATTTCAGGAGTTTAATATATTCGTTAATATAAAACGCTGTTGGTCAAATAATATGAAAATTAGAAGCCTAGAACTCGTTGATATAAAAATCAGTCATCAAGTGTAAATAGAAAACTGTCAGAAAAACTCTCATTGACATGGAAAACTCCAGTCAAAAAGTCGGAAATTCAAGGCTTACTATGATCCGTGCTCATTGCTTGCCAAGGAGAGGCAACATTTCACAGACCGGAATAACAAAACAGATATTGCACACAATTTTAATTAGGGCCGCAACTCATATGACTTTTATGCACATAACTAGTTCACAGTAAATTGAATTTGAACTGACCTGTTTGAACACATTGGATCTGAACGACAAATCAGAATTAGAGGAAACTCCAGTCGGATCATCCAGTCCTACGAAACTCTTCGAGCCTTCAGGCACTTCCTTTGTAGAAACTACCAGAGAGTGATCCACAGCAGATATTCCCACCTGGAAACAAACCAGGTCCCTGGATTGGGGAGGAGAAGACACGTCAACAAAATCAAACTGGCTGGCGAGATTGGCTGGAGAACTGCTTAAGGATCCAATGGAATTTCGATTCGAGGAGTCACCGGGTTTGCTAGACGCTGCGCTGAAGTTCCTCGAGATCGTACAGAGTCTGTAATAAGCACATATATTAAAGTGCAAATATTGGAAACTGTTCAGCGCTATTTTCAAAAAAAAAACTTTTATCGGGTTACTGTAAAACTTTTGGACTGTCTTTTGTGCTTAGAGCACATACCATCATATCAGATTGTTAAGATATAAAAATAACATCACCTCATATGATGATTACAATCTTCAGGCAAGTCAATCATGTTGATCCAGCATGTGAAGGACATTCCGTTGTTCGGTGGAAACACCCGGTGGTCACCTGTGCCGAGACTCACTACCGCGGCCGCAGAAGCCCCGGGCGCTGAAGGTACAACTGGAGATCCGACAAAGTTGGAAGCTGTGGACGAAAGTGCAGCGACTGCCACTGTTCCAGCTGATCCCACGAACGAAGCAGGAGATCCCGCATGTGGCACAAGATTTGGAATGAAAATACTGCCAAAACCTGAAGAAAAATACAGCTGGATAAAACTTCTCAATACATTTCTATAACATTTAAGGGTTTCCGCAAAACACTCCTGGACGCCTTTTTTGCCATGAACCTCTCATACTAAAATGTTGAAAAATACCTTCGAAGTTATAGTTGAACTCAACGAATGCCGGTGGCTCAGTCATCACGTAATCTGCGTACATGATCGCCCTTCTAGCGTCTGCTTCTCGTTTACCACTCATCGCAACTAGGGTCTTTATGGTATTCAGCGGGACACTTCCTGATTTAATTCGACACACACAACATTCGCATTTCTTCAATTCTCGGCTCATCTCCTTAATATCATCTGTCGTATTTGATAGGTCGTCGCCTCTCGGTGACATGATGGCACGACTTCCATGCGGTGAAGCGCTCGAAGCGAGACCCATTGTCGAAACAAGTCGCCATCTGTCATCAGTCGGGACATATTTATTCACCGCGTCTTCTTCGTTAAACAAACAATGCAACGGACTCCCTAGTCTCAGATAAGCTCTTAACTCTCTTACTTCAATCCTCTGATTAGACAGCCTATCAAGAAGCGAATGCGTGACTGAATGTGAAGGATGATGTTCGTCCAATAACATCACCGCTCCAATTGGACCAATCAGAACGCGAATCAAACCACCACGTGCTAGCATTTGAGCATTTCGTTCGCATGATAGAACCAGTTTTTGCACTATGCACAGAATATGGAAGTGTACCGCACATTCCCACTGACGGGATTCGGGGAATGAAATTGCAGACAGTAGGTTTATCATCGAGATTATGGCTCCAGGATGGATTATTGCTGGTGTGTTGTCCTCTAGTTTGATGGGTTGACTAAAATTTAAAAACTGGTTGGCTTGCTTTACAGCAGCGATTTACCCTGTTTCAGCACAGTTTATGTACCGACCATCGAATGAGGGTCGGAACATAGTACTCGGGTGTTTTTCACGCAAAATTAGGTACCACAACATAACTTCAGATGAAGCCGAAGGGTGATTAACGCCATTGCGCTCCGATTTTAGAAACTCGATGAAAAGAAATTTATGCTTTCCACTTTTTCAGACCAAAAATTTAATTCATTCCGATCACCGTAAATAGTTGCTTCAGCTAACACACACGAGTGTTTATTTGTTTCATTGCAGCGTCGTCAACTAGACAAACTGCTTCCATGATGCACGTTTAACCATTAAAAATTTTTAAAAAGAACCAATTTGTACGTGCTAAAAAAGAGCCAATTTGTACCATTAAAAGTCTTTAAAAAAGAACCAATTTTTACGTGTTTAGGTATCAGAGTGGACTGCTTGAAACATAGCCAACTGACCGTCGGAAACACATAATGAACTCAAGGAAACAGAAAAAACTTCAATTTTCGAATTTGCAAGAAAAAGCCATTGAAGCGCCTTGAATTTCATGACAATTTATAATTGGTGCTTTTTTGATAAAATAAACCAAATTTGAGACAACTGGACAATAGGTAAACTTTTAATTTCGATAGGAAATTTGAACATTTAAGTCCACTTTCGAAACTACTATCGAATAGCAAACCTGCAAAAGTCACGAAAAATTTGATCGCCTTCATTTGAAAGTTTTCATTCCTTTTAATTAAAACGCAATTAACACAGTGGCAAAGCGGAGCTTCGCATCACTTGCGATACAATGCAAGCGTAGCATTGTCAGTTAGCAAACATAGCCCACTGCAATGACAGTTGGAAAAGAGTAATGAACGCAAGGAAACAGAAAAAAACCTTACTTGTATGCAGGAAACAGAAAAAACCTTACTTGTATGCAGGAAACAGAAAAATATTTATCCATCAGAACTCTTTGAATTTCACAAACAACTTATTATTAGTCCTTTTTTGATAATTAATTCAAATTGAAAAAACTGGATCAATAGGTAAAATTTTTGTTTCGCTGGGAAATCTGATAATTCAATCCCATTTTCGAAATTAGAATTCGATCACATTTTTTATGACCTTTAAACTTTTGCTGTTCGATAGCTGAGTTGCATTCCTTTTAACAAAGGAAATGAAGTGAAAATATAAGAAATCAAAACTCAAACCGTCCGTGAAAAAACAAAATTGAGCGTTAACAACTCTTTAGATTTTTTCCCGAAAAAAAACATAGCCAACAGATAGTTGGAGAAGAGTAATGAACGCAAGGAAACTGAAAAAGATTACTTGTTTTTTAAAAAAACTTTTGAATTTCGAAAAAAAACTTTTGAAATTCGAAAAAAAAATTGATGTAGAACAATTTATAATTGACATATATTTTGATAAAATTAAGCCAATTTGAGAAAACTGGATGAATAGGTAAAACTTTTATTTCGCAGATAAATCTGATAATTAATTTCCATTTTCGAATTAGAAGTCAATCATCAGCCGAAATTTTTCATACCAAGGAAACTTTAAAGATGAAAAAAATACAAAAAACTATTAAAATCAGATTTAATTAACTTACACGAAAAAACAAAAAGGCTTTCAATTACATTAGAAATAGCTTCAGCAAACGAAAAACAGCCAAAAAAAACATAAGCAGACAAGCAATAGGACGCAACAGGACGACAATTAATTTAGAGGAAATTTTCCAAAAAAAACATTAAAGGAACTTTAACTAAGTCAGGGTTAGTAAATTTACACATTACAGGAGCAAATCAGAAACACTTGCAAATATAAAGAAAACTGTTCACCGCACACAAAAATTCGTGATGTTGCAAGTAAGCCGGCAGTTTTTTAAATGGAATAATTGAGCTTTGAAAAAAAACAGGTCCTGGCCGCTTTTGAACCAAGGACCTTGATTCCCAGGCAATCACATGGCTTAGTTAAAGTTAAACAAGTTGTTATTCTGAAAACAGCCTATATTCCGATTCGATAACGCTTGCTAGTCACAAGGGTAATAACAAACTCAAATTTACTCACGTGTTGAACGAATCAATTGCTACCTTCATCAAATAACTGAACAACTTCAACACAGCCGAAATCTGTGGCGTATAATCTGGCAAATCTTTTCTAGCTTCAAACTCATCCAAAAAGTAGTTTGACGGATTATGATTCAAATACTCTTCTCCATGTTCTACGTGATGATAATTCGACATCGTTCTTCGTTTCACAAAACATCCCAGCAGCAGAACCGAGTTGACCAAATATTCAAACTTCACTTCTTTGTTGAAGTATCTTACATTTGCTGGGTCGTTATACAAAGCGGCCGTTAGAGTTTGCAGCACCGTTTCAATTAGTTGAAAAATAGACGACTGGTCTATTCTGTCCCAAGGTGGCAAAGGTGGGGTCGTCAGACTATTAGTCAGACCCGCAACTAATGACGATGTATGAATAAACCCTTGACTGAGTCTGAATCTAGACCTCACTACGCTATGTTGTCGCAAAGAGTCTGCCAGACATCTTAACAGATCCACTTTCAACTTGATGTCAGTTTGCTCGACTGTCGACAGTCGCTGGATTAAACGACTCGTGTCGTCTTCGCCAATAGAAGAGCAAAGCAATGTCTGTACAAGAAGCAGTGCAGCGCTTCTCGTAGGTTCCGGCGTGATCAAATGATGCACTGCAGCTCCACCGAACGATTTGAACGCCACTATGTTCGTTTCGTTTTCCTTTAAAATCATAATCAATGTCTGGATGACAAAGTGATAGTAACTAAGGTTGTCTGCATCGAAATCGAAGTCTCCGTTGTCTCTACTGTGCAGTCCAAACTCGGCCTGGTGATTCGAGAAGTGAACTAGGGTAGACGTGAGGACTCTCAGAAGATCGCAGTGGTTGAGCACTTTCGAGTAGATAGGGTGAAACAGGGTCAGAGTCTGCATGAACTGGAGGGTTGTTCGACAAAAGTCCAAGTTACTAAAAAACAAAAAATTATTATTAAGCACTCCATACCATTTTCCATTTTGGTTATTCGATCTTAAGCTCAACTCGGATCTTGTTAACTATTTCCCCCTATGGTACTTTGTAACGAATCTCCCCTCTATAAACAATTGGATATTGATAACTATTAGCCCCCCTATTTCGGTTTTCAGAAATTCAACTTTGGCGGCCGCCACATTTTCAATAGCTTAAAACAATTTTCAGAAAATATATATTTAAAATTTTTTTGTGGGTATTATATAAATAGTGAGTAATACAAATACAAACGCGCGAAAACGAAAACCCACTTAATTGTTGACATTCTTGAAATGCATTTTTTATACACAAATGGCTGTCAAAAATAATACATGCATAGGGGGGGGGGGGGTAGTTAACAAGGGGTCCAAAAAAAGGGGGAAATAGTTAACAAGATCTAAATAATTGAACAGTTAAGTATATACGATTTTGTACCCTCAATTAGTGTGGGGACTGCGTTCGCGCTCTCTCTTATGATTTGCAGAACTTATACTGAAATCCCTCAACTCTTGCGTAATACGTTTAGATTTCATTGTACTCTTTTTAATTTAATTCATTAATCCATTTCGTAATTCGTAGATTATAATTGTTCCGACTTTCGATACAAAAGTAACAGAATATTTGTGCTCGGGCGGTTTTTTTTCTTCAGACAAATTTCGACTTCTTAACTAGCCATTTTTGATGGAATTTTTCTAAATCATTCGAAAGCTATTGTTGTCCTGAGCTCAAGTTTGAAAAAATATTTCACCTGTGATCAATTTGGGGGCTATTCTCATGCGCGAAGGACCGAAAGGGCGAAAAAACTTGTAGGCCAAGGACCGAAGACAAAATTAGCCTAGAGTCAATTTTTAAACAAACAATTGCCATTCAGTTACAATGAATTAAATGAAGCAATATTTTGCTACTTTCATTACGAAACCCTTGAAATGTAAAAATTGTCCCACTTTTGCGGCGGTCAAGGAAAAATTTGAAGATTTTGCATATTTCTGCCGTTTTTAGATTCGGCCAATATCAATACTCCAGTCCCTGGAAATGTTTACTTTCCTTCCAAATTTTAGATTACTGAAATCTGATTGGCTGATTTTTATTTTCGCGCATTCGGTCTTTCGCGCATGAGGGATTCCACCATGAGCAGGGTTGTAAAACAATAATTGTACATGGCAATAATGGCCATACCATACTCTAACAATTATGGAAGGAGCCTTGAAAAACGGTGGCCATTATGCATGGCCGGTGGTTCCATATTGTTCCACTTTGTTCCGACTGCCTTTTAAGGTTTTATGGAGCAGTAATAACATCAAAAAATTAAATGACTGCCTTTTAAGGTTTAAGCTCTGAATGTTCCGACTGCCTTTTAAGGTTTTATGGAGCAGTAATAACATCAAAAAATTAAATGTAATAAAATAAAATGAAATTTTTTTCTAAAATTTGAAATTTTTTATGGAAATCATCCCCCCACACGCCATTTAAAATACAAAAGGATATATTTCGCTCCTTGTAACAAATCAATTCTGGCAAATAAGCTTCATTCAACCAATTTGGAACGATCAGGGTGAAGCTCTGAATGTTCCGACTGCCTTTTAAGGTTTTATGGAGCAGTAATAACATCAAAAAATTAAATGTAATAAAATAAAATGAAATTTTTTTCTAAAATTTGAAATTTTTTATGGAAATCATCCCCCCACACGCCATTTAAATTACAAAAGGATATATTTCGCTCCTTGTAACAAATCAATTCTGGCAAATAAGCTTCATTCAACCAATTTTGAACGATTTTAAGACGGATTAACTCTCCGCTTACGCGTTAATAGCGCGAAATATATCGCGAGTTAATTGTCCCAAAATGGCAATCTTTAAACCGTCATAACTTTACCAAAAATGATGGTGGAATCCCTCATGGTCAGGGCTGTAAAAGATGGTATGGCCATACTATAGTGGTATAAAGTTCCCTTATGGATATGGGCCTCTCGCTCACAATACATTATTGCAATAAAGGCAATTATGGAAAAATATGGTTAAATATGGTAAACTAATAAAAGCCATAATAAGAATAAAAAATAATAAAAAATACTCAAAAACAAAAAAAATCAACGGTTTTTTAACGAGTTGTTCAATCGGATCTTGCTAGTATGCATGAAATGGTATTGACATTCCAATAAACATGGTTGACATGCAGAAATATCTGGGCTTCCAGATTCATTGGATTCAATTTTTCCGATAGTCAGTGAATATACCCCGCACGACACTGAATAACGGCTCAACTATTGTGCTGGTACAAAGCAAATATGAAGGTAACAAGCAAATATACCAAAAAATATGAAGATGTACCCATGTCAGTCCATCCGTCGACGATGAGCCCAAACTTTTCGGGTAGCTCCTTGATACTTTTCTAAACTTCTTTGGTAACGATATCCAAGTATTTCATAAATGTAGGGCGAGAAATGGGTTCCTCTTTTGTTAAACGGTTTGCCCTCTGAAATAATCCATTCCATCCATCCATAAATGTTTTGGCTTTTTTCGGAGCTATAAACCCGGAAACATTTAAGTTTAGGGATCCTGAACCAGTTGGAATTTGGGATTTCCAATTGGGATGGTCTTTGTCCATGTGCAAAACCAAATTCCGTATCCTTTGGAAATATCCTGCTTGTAATTATTCGAGCATAATTTGCATTTGAATTGGTTCGCCCCAACATTAGTATAGAACGGTGACGTCCCATTTGTACCAACGGTCATTTGTACCAAAATGAAAAATCGGTCCCATTTGTACCAAAATAATTCAACTCGATTTCTGATTGGTCGAATTGTGAG